CAGTGAGGATCACCGCGAGGAGCTGCTCCGCTTCCGCACGCACTCTCGCTCCTGGGCCGGGGAGAGGCGGCGCCGGGAGCAGATCTCGCGCCTCATGAAGATTTGAGCTGCGCCGTCCTGCAACCTCGGTCTCCTCCACCTCTGAGCCGATCACAGTAACCCTCAATCATGTACGATTTCTGCACCGGGAGAGACGCGGGTCCGATATGATGAGGACATTCATGCTGATGTTCTGCGCCGGAAACCAGACGATTCTGTAACGCTTAAAATGTCTGAGCACATCTCCGGTGCCGACGCCCATCTTCTGACATCATGGAAGGAGGATGATGTCGTTGTCTGATACAGCATCTGGCATCACAATTGCTGAAGACATCGCCTGCCATTTACCCACCTGCTCCTGCTGTCTCGTCTTCAGCGGCCCTCCTTCAAGACCTGACTGGATGGCGGGCAGTGTCCATTGTCTAGTGACCCCAGCCTCTGGGAGGGCCACCGCCCAGCGTCCCCGGTGACATCATCAAGAAGGAGGCTCTGAGGGGTGTGGCCTCGGCTCTGTTGCCGTGCTGGTTGGCTGAGGAGAAGGGGAGGGGCCGGGAGAAGCTTCAGCCGTCAGTGTCCTTGGAAGCTGCATCAGTAACTTTACACTCCAATGAAGGAACAATCCTTCTATCACTGCCAATCTTTGTTTGAGGTCCGGTTGTTCTTTGTTATGTGAGGATGTCTTAAAGGTGGAGAAGCAGGAGCTGTTGTTGTGAGCAGTGGCCCAGCCCCAGGAATGAACGATGCATGTTGTTGTGGAGCAGAGGGGTCTGTCAGTGAGAATCCAGAGGGAGCTGGGGTGGAGGTGTTCTCTGCACTCGAGCATGCCCCCTAGTGGATGGGAGGGCAGATAGCTCCTGTCTGGATTGTTTTTAATGATGGGGGGGGGGGAGATAAAGTAATTTACTCCAGGGGGGTTATGTGTCCATGTATCCAGGAAGTGTGTGATGCTCTTCCTGTTTTAATAAAAGCTCTCCTCCATGCTGGTGTGGTACTTGCCAGGGCTGGGCGGGGCTGTGGTATGATGGTTTTGCTGTGTGTTAATCGCTGCGGCGGATCTGGGCAAGACCGGAGACCAGAGCAGGGAGGGAGAGAGGCGTGATGCTTGATCATGAGCTTTATTACTGCAATTACACACATTGTCTTCATTAGTCCAGATTAGCTTGACCTCTGACCTCTGTCTGAAGCGACCTGTCAGCCCCAGCAGGATGGCTGGGGGGTTTCCATGGCAACAGCTCCACCCTGAGACCTCTGCCCCCCCCCCCCTCCTCCCAGCGCCTCCTCTCGCACCCGGCACCTGCGAGGGGTGGCTGGGTTCACCTGCCGCAGGCTCGAGCGCGGTAAGTGCTCGCGGCCGCTGCAGAGCACAGGGGCAGGGGGACTCGTACCCGGGCTGGCGGGAGGGTGGAGAGCAGTGAGGGGGTCAGGCTTTCGGCCCCTGATACCCAAGAGCTGCACACAGCTGG